TTTAGTAATAACAAAAGATTCCTGTGACTGCAAGATCAAGCTTATTGTAATAAAGAGATTATAGAAAACTCAAAAATTAACACCGAAAAAGGTACAATGTTATTTTAAAGAAATCAGAGGTGATTCATCACAATTTCATGGATAGAAACTGTGTTTTGGAATACAAAGGTTTGATTCTTACATCACATCCCATGTTTCCACAGAACAAACAGTTCTTAATAAATCCATCAACTGGCATGTTTGGGGACCTGGAGCTTCTGTGGATCACAACTGGAACCATTGCTGCCATTGGAAAAGTATGTTTCTTTAAAGATATGTACTGCAACTTTAAGTAAATCCTATTGGTAATCAAAAATATTTTAAAATCCCACTTCCTACAAACCCAGATCTAGTTTAACTCCTACATTCAACTATGCAAGCTAAAAATCTTTAATAGTGACTTCCAAAATTATCACCCCGCACAAAAAAATGCAAAACGAAACAAAACCTTACCAAGCTCCTATTGTGGCAGTAGGGATATTTACACATGGAAGTAACACAAATATATAAACATTTTAAAAGTCTTGGGCAATATTATCCTTAGACCTGGCTTTTATTTGCAAATTAAGTATGCATTTAAAACCTAACAATGACTAAATACAGAGGTGATGACATTAAAAATCCACTCAGTGAGACTTCCTGCCTATAACATAACAAAACACTTCAAATCTAATTTTCAGCAATTTAAGAACTAATTTTTAGTGCTGTTGTGTTGTAATTCAATATAATTTACAGAGGTCAAGTATGCATCCATTGTAATAGGGTAGAATCTCCAAAATGCAATCGCTCCATAAAACCAAACCATCACATGTATCCAAAAAGAAGAATCCATTTGCTTTTACCCTTTCTCCTCTGCTGCACCGAGGAACAAGAGGCTAAATTTCTTCTCTTCGAGTAGAAGTAGCTGTGAAACTCTTAGCCCTCTAAAGGACTGGCTCACACAAAACCACACGGCAGCTGTTCCTACATCTTGATGTGGTGGGAGGTCACTCAGAAAGAGATACCACATCTATGTGGAAACACTGACATTAAAAAGCTACCTGAGGTGCTAAGACTGGCTCTCTATCACACTAATACCTGCAGTATGCACCGTGTTACAACACCCCTAAAAACCTGGATATATCACGAAAAATAGGGAAAAGGCTGACGCTTTCTCATGTCACTGGAAGTAATGGTGAGCATATTTGAAAAAACAATTTGTCTAAACTAGGTGAGATTAATAGATACAGGTGAGTTTAGGCATTGGCCATAATTAAGAAAAATCATCTCACTACCACTTAACTTTGAATGAAAGGCACAGCATGAAGTTTTCGGGCCAGAGATTGTCTGAATTGGCTTTACATTTTCAGGTTATTTGTTTTAATTTTATGAACAGTCTTTAAAGAGTGAGAGAGAAGGGTCTTCTTAAACACAACACCATGGGGAAGCCGCCATGGTTCCTCTCTGAATTTAGAAGCTCTGAGCAGGACCGTCACAGGGGAAAAAAAAAAAATAAATTAAAAAAAAAAGAAAACGAAGGTGAATTTTAAAGGGGGAATAGATGTCTCTACTACGAGGCCCTAGCAGAGGAAAGAGTAAAACGAGACCAGGCTGTCTCTGCTTTCGTAATTGCAAAGGTGCTGCCTCAAAGGGGAGAAAACTTCCATTAGCAACTTCCTCTGAAACACCTGAAAAAAGCAGCACACAAGGGCTCGTACTCCGTTTACGTGCAATCCACCTGATAACGTCTAAAATTTATTAACCACAACTTCAAACACCGCTGAAGAGAGATGCCTTTTCTAAACGAGGGTCAAAGACGGGCTCTTTGGAAACTCAACAAGGCTCAGCCGCAGGGACATGGGGAAAGCGCGGGGAGACGGGACGGGGTCAACAAGCGCGGGGCGGGCTGGTTTGGCCGGCCGGTGCTTCCCGAGGGCACGGCGGGCCGGGAGGAGCGCTCGGGCCCCCCGGGAGCCCCGGGACGGGCAGCGGGGCTCGCTCCCGGCCTCCTCGGGCTCGTACCCACCCCGGGCTGCCGGGCTGGGCCTCGGCCGCTTCCCTCCGGGTGCCAGACCCACCATCGCCCCCCGGCCGGCGGCGAGCGGGGCCCTCGGCCGCTCTCACGCTGACACGGCCCCGCTGAGCGCGGAGCTGCGCCCGCCCTGCCCCGGCCGGCTGGGCACCATCGCTCCCTGCTCCCTTCTCCCTCTCCTCTCCCTCTCCCCGCGGCGCAGAGTGAACAAACGCGTCGCCGTCTACCTGTGCAACACCTCCGCAACACATTTTATTTACACGGAATTAGCTCGGGGCATTGTACATTATATACAGATATTTTCCCCCTCCAACAAGGCAGATCTTGTGCAAGATTGGTAGCATCCTCTGGAGCGTATCCGACAGTCCACGGGAAATGTCCCCCCCGCTTAGAAGTATCAGCTGTCAGAGTCCAAGTCACTTTTCCCGTCCTCTTGTCTCTTCTCCGGTGACGTTTTAGACGCTTTATTCCACTTTTGTGCGTTTTCTGATTCCTCCGAAGACGATCGCTTTTGCCTCCTCCACTTCGCCCGGCGGTTTTTGAACCAAACCTGTTACGTTAAGAAATTAAATTATTAGAGGGAAGAAATAAAAATAAAACTGTGCAAACCCGCAGCCCCTCAGCCCGCAGGAGCCCTGCCGGGCTCGGACGGAGGGAGGGCGGCGGGGGAAGCAGCCGCTCGGGTGGGACCGGCCGGGCGCCTTCGGGAGGCACAGCCGCCTGCCGACAACCCCTCACAGCCCCGTGACACGCTCGGCCGGCCGCCCCAAGGAACTTGGGCACTTGGAAATAATAAAAAACTTTCCCTCTCCCTCCGCTGGCAGAGCCGGGCTGCAGCCGCGCCGCGATACATCCGGTTCGGGCGCGTTTGGGTGCGAACGGGAGAGGGCTGAAGAAGGGAAAAGAAAGCAAAGTACCTCCACTTTTTCCTCTCTTAAGTGCACCCTTCTGGCCAGCTGTTCCCTCGTGCCCACGTCTGGGTATTTAGTTTCCTGGAAGAGGTTTTCCAGCGCTTCCAGCTGCTCGTCAGTGAAGATAGTCCTGTGCCGTCTTTTCCGCCTGCAGTGCAGCTGGTTCAGTAACTGCAGCTCCGTCCGGGACAAAGTGCCCACGTTCATGTAGGGCAACATCTGATGGGGAACAGGGGACATCAGGACTGACCCAGTGCCCTCGTAACCTACGGACAGACAGACGAGTCGACGATAGGCTTTGCATGAGATCGCTGCTTCCCCCCACTCCTGTCCCGTCCCGTCCCATCCCGAAAATGCCCCCTCCCGCCGCCCAGCAGGACTGACCCAGTGCCCTCGTAACCTACGGACAGACAGACGAGTCGACGATAGGCTTTGCATGAGATCGCTGCTTCGCCCCACTCCTGTCCCGTCCCGTCCCGTCCCGTCCCGAAAATGCCCCCTCCCGCCGCCCGCTCCGGCCCCGCGGTGCGGGAACAAAGGGGGCCCGTCCGCGCCGTCCCGCGGGGGCCGCCTTACCTGCGGGGGGGACGCAGGAGCACTGCTGGGCGCCCAGCGGCGGCACGGCCCCGCAGCACGAAGGGCCCACGGGGGACGCCGGCACATGCAGCTGCCCGTAGTAGTAGTTGTTGTAGCCGAGCCGGGATCCAGTGACGGCCGGCGGCAGCGCGGAGGCGGGAGCCACGGCCCGCGAGTAAAATCCGCCGTAGTCGGAGGCGCTGCCGTAGAGAGAGTCCCCGTGGAGGCTGGGGAAGACGACGGGCGCGGCGCTCGGGGGCAGCAGCACCGAGTCCTTGCAGCGAGGTCTGGCCGCCAGGATATTGTCGATGCTGAACATGCTCACAGGCATGCCCCAAACCGTGCGGGGCAGGGCGGCGGGGACCGGCCGGGGGAGGGAGGGTAGGTGGTGGCTGGGGAGGGGGGGGGGAAGAGGCTGGAAGGACACGAAACCGAAACTTTTCGGATAAATTTTAAAAAGGGATCGGAGCGAAAAGAAAAGAGCCTTTTCCGAGGGCAGCTTGCGGGCAGAGTGTGCGTGTGTGCCTGTGCGCGCGTGTGCGGTGTGTGTGCGTGTGCGCAGGATCCACCCCTGGAACTTTCCCCCCTCAACTCTCGCCTGTTTACTGATCTCAACCCAGAGGGCTGCTCGGAGTATAATCCATCTGAACCTCTTCCCTTTTTTATACCCAGGCGACGTCATCCTGGATTTAGTTCCTGGTAATATGCAGATGACAAACAAAACCAGATTTGATTTTTTTTTTCTCCCCTTTTTTTGGTGGGGGTTGCACAAAGGAGTGAAAGCAGCCCTAGTCTGTGTATTGAGAATTAATGAAATTAACGTAATCCTTTCCATTAGTGGGCTTTTTAGAAAGGCCCCAGATTTAGGCTTGATCTCTGCTGCACCGGCTAATTGCCCAGGTTAATCTTATTAATGCCATTGTGTAGAAGTGGTTAGCAGCTCCTAGTCTTGTCTATTATGCACCTACTTTGGTCGTGTTAGTTCACATTAGTGGGTGCGATTTCCTCTGTCTAAGGCTCAGATTCATTATTTATGCTTCGAACTGCTTAAGAAGCACTTTAAAAAAAAATAAACTGCCACATAAACATGCAACGCCCCCCCACTCCAAGTGTTTCTGTAGCAGGATTTGAATCTTGCGTCCCCGGCTCGGAGGACTGAACGGGCATTGAAGAGTATGCGTTTCTCTGATTTAAGGTTTATGCAGTGAAGCAACAACGTCTTCACTGAGTAACTGAACTATTTGTTTTTTATTATTTTCCTAGGTCACCTGGCGGAACAACGACACACGAATATTGTAAACTTCTATCTCTCAGTTTTCTTTGTTTTTTGTTTTTTTTTTTTTTTTCTTTCATTTTTTAACAGACTCAGACAGGTATCACCTTTTATTTTTAAAACAAGCCAAGAGACGTGAACGTTAAAGACCAGTGCCATCTCAAATCCCCGGGTGTGGTAGGTATTCAAATTTGCTTCTGATCCGAGTGGTGCCTATTTCTCTTCTTTTTAATCTTTCATTATCTACCTTAGAAAACGAAGCCCATAAAGTTGCAATGATGCAGAGAACTTTATATTTTGCATGTTCCGTGAATTTTTAAACGGAGAAATTTTGAATCCCTAAAACTCTTCCTATTAAGAGGTTTGGCTCTCCTGGTAGCTGGCTCTTGTGATTTGCAGAATACTTCGTCTGTCACGACTGTCCCTGGGAATCCACAGGAGGTGAACTGAATAAGATTAGACTATTTACCCCATCAACTCTCCATCAAAGAAGGTAGGAAATTGTACGCATGAAATGAAAACAAGCCATTAGAGTCCGTTTACGAGGAACACATTATTTTTCCTCAACAAAGAATATCCTCGTTAGCGCTTACTCGCACTTTATCTTTAGCCTTCCTTTCCTCGATATTCCAGGATTTAAAACCACACCTGAGAATGATCTGAAACGTCTTTATAGCGAAAGACTTGTATAAGCGTTAAAAAAAAGAATGCCAAAACTAAATTCTCGCTTTATTGATACATTCCAATGTGATTAATTAGCTGCATCGGTTTTTACTTCAATTTATCTGCCTAACCATTTCTTTACCCCTTTGGCTTTTAGACCTGAACTTCGTGCAAGTTTTTCAAATTTGATGGAAAGTAAAACTATTTGACAGAGAGTTCGGCGGGTTTTTGGTTAGATTTGGGATATTTTTTTCCTGTTTATGTTTTGAGAGTTTTCTTTATTTTTTTGTTTGTTTGTGGGTGGGCTCGTAGAGGGAGTTTCGGTTTGTTGGGGTTTTTTGGTCACTAATTCCCTGAGTGCAGCCGGTCACGCTGCATGCAGAGCAGCGCCTGCTTAATGCCGCCATCGGGATGCTCCTTCACGTCCTCAGCGGCTCTGCAGCAATGCGCGACAGCATCCCTCCGGTGCCCTGCGCAGCCCCGGCGGGGAGCGGGGCTCCGGGCGAGCCGGGCTCGGGGTCCCCGGGAGAGCCAGGCCTGAGGCGAGGCCGGCAGCGGGGCCACGGCCCGCTCAGGCTCCGGGGAGGAGCGGAGCATCCCGCGGGTCCCGCTGCGCGGCGGCGGGGACAGCGCTCAGCCCGGGACTGCCGCCCCTCGGGGAGCAAAGCGGCGACCCCCGGAGCCCCGCTCCTGCGGGGGCTCGCAGGTGGGGACACCCTCGGTGGGGACACCGGCCGCCGGGGCCGACTTCTCGGGGGTTTAGCATCACTCCTGTCAGGGCTTCATGTCCGCGCCTGTCCGGCTTCTCCCAGGTGAAAGCAGCACCGCGGGACACGGGTGGGCACGGAGGAGCGCGCACAGCCCGGGCCGGCCGGGCGCTCCGCTGCCCCAAGAGATTTTTGCTCCCCTGACGGATGATCCACCATGCTACAACGCTTACCTTTATTCCTAATTTAGAGATTATATTTTCCAAATAACTTGTCCCCCCCCAGTGGGGAAGGCTTCTTTTATTTTGTTTTATTTTGTTTTATTTTGTTTTAGCCTGAGTCGTTTTGCCGCGAAACCCCCGGGTTTGATACCCGCTTCGCAAAACCTGCTCTCGGAGTTTCTCATTTCCCATGCGCTCTTCGCTAACCTGGCAAACGGAAAATTGTGTTAAACAAACAATCAGTTGTCACACAATGTCGGGGTGAAATTGTAATAACAAATGAAACACAAGCAAATTGTGCTGCATAGTGTTGCTAAGCAATTGTTTGTTACGGGAGGGTGGTCACAGCATGGGTTGAAAGAAGGATCTAAAGAGGAGCATAGCGCTGGGCAGAGCAAGCTGTTAGGTATGAAATACGATAAACACGGCGCTGATTTTCAATATTATTACCCAAACACGATTTCATACAAAGCAATCACCATACACAAGTCTATGAAAATGCGCTTGTTGAGAAATCGGACTTTTTTTTATTTATTTATTTTAATATACTAAAGAATAATTCCGGGGATGCAAAACGCACCCACCGCCTTCCCGGCGGAGTCTTTGACCGGCCTGGCGGCCGGAGCGGCCCCGGGATGCGGGCCGGGAGGGGCCCGGGGCGGCGCAGCCCAGCCCGGCCGGCCGGGGCTTGGCCCGGGCAGGTCCCGGCTGCGGCTCCCGCCCCACGAGCGGGGAGCGGGGAGCGGGGCACCGGGGGCTCGGGCATCAGCGGCGGCGAAACGGCGCTCCGCGGCACATCTCACTTATAAATGCCATCGCCCTGCGGCGCTCCCCACGTTTGTTTCAAATTGATCGCATCATTGCTTCACCAGGAAAAAAAAAAAGTATAAAAGTCATACAATGCGAAATTATCGTAATTTGTTCCCAGAATAAACTTATCTTGAACTGATTAGGAGAGTCAGTCATTTGAAAACGAGGCAGAAAAGCGGTTGGGTATTTTTCTGAAAGCTTCCCTCTAACAATATCAGCTTCTAAAGTTTTCATTCATATAAACTTTATTAATGAAGATCTTTTATTTAAATGTCAAGAGGATTTGAAATTTAGAGTAAATTATGAAGCATGCATGTCTTGCCAAGTCATGGGTCAAATGCATTTGTGAAAAACTGCTAAAAGAGCATATGGTTTTGAATTTTTCTACAATGACTAGTGTTTAAATAAATTGCTTGTACTGCTTAACTTCATGTATAATTTTGACAGAAATTGGCCTATAGCCTTTTGATATGTAAACATTTCAGGCTTTTATGCGGTATAAAAAGACACTTGCTTTTTGGGATCAGCTAAAGCAGTCACCCTGTAATTCAGAAAACTGGCACCTAACGTTACATTCTTGCTGCATTTCGACTTTCAAGTGGCAGCATAAAGGGGGGAAGGAAAAGGGACATTTCAAAAGCAATTGGAATTAAAAACTGCGAATGAGGTGGGAATGTGCCACTCACTGTCTGATTGAAATGGATAAACCTTAGCACTAAGAGAATTCTCGGTCTTGTTTTCCAAAAAACAACACAGGAATCAGTGAAAACAGTCTTCAACGTAGCACAGACCTGACTCGCATGTCAAATTAATGCCTTAAAACAAAGTCTGTCTAAAGTACAAATAGGTGTGATGAAGAAAACCCAGATATCCCTTCTGAATTCAGTCAGCTGTTTCTCTTCTACAAACTATCTTGGGCTTTAAAAATTAAAACAGACTTTTACACATGGAATATTGCATACAATGTGTATAAATATACCACTACCCTTTGAAATGCCACTTAGCTAGCTTCATGTTCACTTGCATTTCACCAGTTCTTAAGTCTTTTGCAGTTTTAGTTCCAGTAAACATTCCATTGACTTCAATTAGTGCTTTGTTTTAGTGATGTGTTTCGGTTTTTTGTTTTGGGGTTTTTTTGGTGTGTGTCGGGGGTGGGGGGGGAGGGTGTGTGAGGGGGGATTGTGTGGTTTGGGTTGTACTTTTTTTTCTTGTGAAGACGAAGACTCGAATGTGCTAAGGGCTTCAGGATACAGCCCGTAAAACTAGTGGAGTCACTCAGTTTTAAGTCTGCTTAAACTAAAATGACTTTGTACATGTATAAATCCACCAAGCTACTGAATAAATTCATTTATTACTAATATATCTGTCTCACATAAATAAACCTCCTAATGTTGATTAGATGGATAAGCCTAGCACAGTGCTAGACAGAACAGGACCTGGATAGTTGCCTGGTGCCAGACAGCTCAATATGTTTATTTCCTGTGTGCTTTAGTGGGGACTAAGCTGAAGTTGGAAAAAGGTTTAAATGAACTATATAATTTCAATCTGTTACTGTAGTAACATTTGTATTTATTGTATATGTCAGTTAGTCATACACAGAGTTCTCAAGATACACTACCCCCTTTGTTAGTGGTCAGAGGTGATTTTTTTCAGAATTGTAATGAGTCAACATAGACAAATTCTGTTATAGACAAATCAGATGCTGTAGCAATTCAAAAGCTGGTATGGGTTCAGTCTGATTTGATATAAGCTAATGAAGAAAGTAAAATCTCTTGTAGGTTTCCATGAATTTGAACAAAGGCCAACGAGATTTTTTTGCAGGTTTCATATGTATTCCAGCTAACAGCATACTTGGCAAATGGGGATGTATGACATTAATGACTCAGCAAGAAAAGATTTTTCATCTTAACAGAGAAATCTGCATCTAAACTGAGCAGATTGTTGCAAAGAAGGATCTTTTGACATAGTGCATCTTTATAAGAGGACAGTGGGAATACACTTTGGGTCCTTGGCTGCAAGGCAGGAGTCAACAGGAGGATGCCTTGTTACTTGGAAGTTTTGTTTTCCATCAAAAGCAGTTTGAGTGAGGTTCCTTACTCAAAGGTACGGTGATCAAACCCATTTAAGCTCAGGAAAGTGGGATGATCTGGACATCTACTTTAAGGAAAATTTCATTCCAAGGGATGTGCTGGAGAGGCTGACATAGTGGGTCTGTTGCACACACGACTGACCCAGGTTTACAAAGTGGTCCTCAATCACAGTACAGCCAGCAGCCAAAATTTCTTCCAGAAACTGAACATAGTGTAGCAGTGTGCTTACCAGCTTCCAGACAAGATGGCTTCACTCTAACCTATTAGTACTTTAATTTTTCTCTGTAAGGGTGAACTAACCCTAATTCCCCATGTTACACATACAGTCACATGTAATGGTGGCGAGGGAGATGTGTGTATCTGTTCCCTACAAACACTGTGCATAAGTTGTGCTCATTATGCTATTAGATCACTTTCTATGCCAGGGTTTGTACTATTATAAGTTGAGGAATTAAAAAAAAGCAAAAGCAAACAAAAAAAAACCAACGGACCACTTTCCCAACTGATAAACATAAACCAAACTAAGACTTCTGTTGTTCATTTATCTTTTTCCAATAACTGAACTAAATTTTTGGATCATCATGTACCACACTGGGTTTAAACCACAACAGCTCCTGAGCACACACAGCTGCAAGTCAATGGGAATTGTATGTGGTCAGCATCTATCATTCCACCCAGGCATTATTACATTGGCTAGAGATCTTCTCTGTAGTATAAACTGTACATACATAATGCCACCAGAATCTCTCCTCTCTCTGAAAAGGCTCTGGAGGTTACACCCAAAGCAACTCTTCATTTGTAATGCAAAGAACCTCAAAAGTCTTTGCAAGGGAGTTAGAGCAACAAAGTCAGCTTTAAAAATAAATGAGTCAGCTGTACAAAAGACAGCTACTGTGTTGTTTTCTGTACCATGCACATGATGTATGTTCAGACTTTCATGGTTTTCAGGAGATTCAGAGTTTGTGAGTATGACTGTGGTCTAGTCTAACAGTGTTTACCATGGTGGAACTAGAACTGGAGCCCAATCCCACACCTATGGAAGTCTGCTTGGTACTTGCCAGTGATTTTGAATCAGAAGTGAAATAGAGTATCTTCCAGCTAAAAGTGACATTTTCATTTCCAAACATTATATGACTGAAACCTAGTAGACTTTCTTTTAGTGAAGTATGTCTGATACTTATAATGAATACATATAATTTGCATTTTTTACAAATCCAGGAAATAATATTAGTAATGAAGGTAAAAGTACAAAAATAAAATCAACTAATCTATAGTGGATAACCATATAATGGAGAGTAACAGATTTGAAGTAGGCAGGGCAAATATGCCAGGAAGAACTACATAAATACTATTTTGGTTAAATTATGTTTTGATAATATCATTGAAATAAATATAATTATAATCTGTTTCAGTTATCAGTGCTTACATTAGGTGAAAAACACCATCTAACAAAGCAACTGAAGTGGAAGAGTTATTGTATTCACCTACTAATGTTCTCAACTTTAATTTAAGTCTTTATCATGCTGTCAGTAAACCACATCCTCATTTGTGTTCTAATTTAGGCAAAAATAGCCTATTTCCTGCAAAAATAATTTGTGGAATTCAACACAACACTCAAACCACTAGATGACAGAACTAAAAAGTTGTGTTTATATTGTGTTTGGATTTGTTTCTTTTTAGTGTTTCTAAAGACAATTTTATTTACAATATTGATATACTTAAGTGTTTTGATACTTTTCTGAAAGCCTACAGAAAATGTTAAATTTAGATACAGTTAACTTGAGGTCTGAATTAATTTATGGTTATTTTCTTCCTAACTGGCCATCTAATTCCAAACTAACCAGGACTAGATTTTTGAAGTCCTGTTTACCTCTAGTTTAAAATTTGCAACATGTACCTTTTATACTTTGAATCTCATCTAATGAGAAAGGGAATTTTTTACAATTTGGAATTATACAACATTTTGGAGCAACAAGTATGTCTTCTGCTCCTATGAATCAGGAATATTACACCACTATTTATCCATTTGCAGCTGTCTCTATACACTTTGCCTTTGGGTTTCTATTTTCTTTCTGATTCCTATGCACTGCTTTCTCACAGCCTATTCTTCAAACTTTTGTTTTTGAAGGGAACTCTGTTCTTTTATGAAAATGTAAATTCAGAGGTTTTCTGATGGATGTGTTCCAAAGTTTTAGTAAGATATGCAAGATCATAGTCTGGGCCTGGTGCCTGTTTCAAGAGGTCAGCATGCTGTGTAGTTAGATGAAATTCTGGACTAGGAACTGAGCAGACAACATGATGCAGGAGCCAAAGGTCAGGGATGTTTCCTTTTTCAGAAGTTTTATTGATGGCATCCTCTTTATTTCTGTGCTGATGTGGCACAAGATGCTTTTGCAAGTGAGGATGGATCCTTACGTGACTTTTGCCATTGGTAAAGATTCTCAGGGAGAGGGAATAAGGCTCTTTCCCCATTCTGCCTCTTGCAGTGGATATATCAACATACAATAGCAACTGATTTGAGGATTAAATGAGATGGATGGATGGATGGATGGATGGATGGATGGATGGATGGATGGATATCTGCATTTCTTGGGCCAATTCTTCCCTGTGGTTTAACCTCAGGGTAGTAAACATGCATTTGTTACCACATTGAGAAAATCCGTTGGACATAAGGTATTTTAGGAAAGATGTAACCAAGGAATGTCAGTGCATAAAGAATGTGAATTTATAGTGCACTCTGATCTACTCTGAATTTTCTCATGGAAAAGGATTTTTACTGGGGGTATTTTGAGCCTTTCAGCTATGTTATCATATGTACTGTTAGCATCTGCACAGCTTGAAGAAGACAGTGAGTTGCAGATTTTTCCCCTACCTTTCTGCATGCTCCTAGAACACCACAGTTCACAGAGCAGGCTTTCTTTAAAGTGAGCTGTGGGCTTCTACCACTTTGTGTTCAGAAGTGAGGCAAAAATAAGAAAAGGCATCCCACTTAAGGGTAAAAGTCTCACTGTGACTCTAGATGTTTTCAGAACACTAAATTTTAGCCCAAGAACTGCTCTCACAATAACTGTCTGTAGAAATTTTTCCTTTCCAAACCTTTGAATTTCATGTTGGTTACAAAATTTGCTGTTTTGGACAGGGCATGGAGATGGATTTGAAACAGCAGTTAGTGACAGCAACATCTACCCATTTTCATCACTAATTTGGTGCTCTATCTGAAAGGTTATCTACTTGTGTATCTTTAAATAATGCGAAACCCATGACAGGTATCTTGTGAAGTTCCTGTGTATATTCATTTTGTAAAATACATAAGACAAAACTTTTAAAAGTTTGGGGTAACTTTCAGAACCTTTGTAGCTCAGCCAATTTTCCAATAGACACACATATTCTGAGTCTGCCTAAAGCAGGTAGTGCACTGTTTTGGTTTCTTTTGATTTAAAAATATTTTCTTTACAAAGACATCTTAAGGCATCAGTCACCAGATGACTAATGCTTTAGTCTAGCCATTAGAGTTTAAATCCCACTAATTTTAGGTTTTCCTAACCTCAGCCTGCCCTATTTCAGCAAAAGGAGACTGGCCCATGTTGAAACATTAGCAGGATCCAGGGAAACCAGAGAATAACTTTAAATATTTTGTACAAATATTCCCTAGTCTATACTCTGGCCCCAACAACTGGATTCCTAATTCTAAAATGATTTAAACATGAGCATCAAATTCTGGAAAGAGCTGTGTTGAAAGAAATCTGACTTTCTTTCAGAATGCCTTGACTTCAGAACTGG